TTTAAATGCCCTAGGGAATTATTTCCGCAAATGGAGATTTCAACCCAATCCAACTAAGACAGAAGTGTCCTGCTTCCATTTATACAACAAGATGGCCAACTATCAACCTCAAATCAATTTTGGGGATAGACTCCTTAAATATAATAAACACCCAAAATACTTAGGTGTTACACTTGACAGAACGCTGAACTTTAAAAAGCATCTTACTAAGACTGCTGCAAAACTCCGAACTCGTAACAACATCCTGCAAAAGCTCTGCGGAACTACATGGGGCTCCTCAGCACCCACACTTAGATCGACAGCATTAGGACTGGTATACCCCGTAGCGGAATACTGTGCACCAGTATGGATAAACAGTCCACATACTCACCGTGTTGATGTCCAACTCAACCAAGCCATGCGAACTATATCGGGCACAATCAAGGCCACGACCACTTACTGGTTACCAGCTTTGAGTCATATAGCTCCACCACCCATCCGCCGGGAACATGCCCTTGTCAGAGAATTTACAAAAATCAATACTGATCCTGAGCTCCGCTCCCATGTCGGAACTTCCGCCAGAGACATAAATAGGCTCCGTTCAAGACACCCGCCTCTAAAAACAGCAAAAAGGCTAGTAGATCAAAACTTTAATGTAACTGAACGGTGGAGAGAACAATGGGAGAATAACGCTGCACCAGCTAACTGGAACATGCCATGTATTACAAGCAAACCTGAGGGCTTCAACCAACCGAGACGAATTTGGACCACACTCAATAGAATAAGGACGAACTGTGGCAGATGTTCCGACTCACTTTTTAGATGGGGAAAAATACAATCACCAAATTGCGACTGCGGCGCCGAAAGGCAAACAGTAAAACACATGGTAGAGGAATGCCCGATTAGATCCTATAATGGCAACCCTTCAGATTTCCTGGCTGCTACAAAAGAGTCAATTGAATATATTTATAATCTAGTTGTTTGTTTGTAGAATAATATTTTTATATTCACTGTTGTTTGTAATTTATATAATTTATATTCATATATTTATATTTATATGAACCTGTGATGTAGCCATACGCTAAATAAATAAAATAAATTGACTAATATGTTAACATTTTATTAAATAGTTACGTGAATTTATATATGTTAAAAAAGATTCGTGTTTGAATTCTACTCGAAATCTTTTTCTTTAAACAACACCCATAATCTCATTTCCACTTCACTTGAAAGGAAATCGTATCTTGACACAAAGAACATTTCAGAAAATTTTCTTTTAGCCGATTTTTCTTAGATATGATATAAATTTACACATAAATATGATTCCAGAAAATACATCTGCAACATTATAGAAGATATAGGCATACTCCGCCAAAACATATAGCCGGTTTCGTACAGAAAGAAAATATATAGTGTGTAAAACCAAATGAAATAAATTCATTATTTAGGTTACTGTACATATTTATAAAAAATCCCGAAACACGTCAAATTTAAATTATAACTTGACATTTTTTAACGTGAAAATGCAACCCCTACCTTCAACCCCCTTAGAATGATAGGTACAACCCTCAATTTTTAGAATAGGAAGTATAGTAAACAGTAAGCATAGGAAGTATAGGCTTGTGATGTATCGTTTGAAAGGTCTTTTCATTCTCCATTCAAAAATGTTGTCGCTTTCAAGTTTATTAAGATTAATTAAGATAAAATAAATTAAAATCATGTGGTTACCGAAATTCGCTAAAATATACTTAAAACTTATTTCCCGTTTACGTCTTGATAATGAGAAAGTGAACAAAACCCATAGCAATGTGGTTTTTAGATGGTAACCATTAAAAAACTTTAAAGAATTTCCGTGGCAACGTTATTTTAACAAGCATTAGTAAATTGTTTTATTTAAGTTGTCAGTATTTTAATTTAAGTAAAAAGTTCGTTTAATTCAATTCTAAAAAATGGTTAGATTAACGGAAATGCATAAAATAACAGTTTTACAAATGATTGGTTACGGAGATAACACCCGAACACAACAGGAAGTAACTCGCCTATTTCATGAGAAATTTCCTAATTTACCACGTATATCCCAAGGAACAATAAGTAAAATAAAGAAGCAGTTTCGCGAGTTTGGTCATGTAAGGCAGATAAAAAAAGCAGCTGCCAATGCACTAAGTGATGAACTCAAATTAGATGTGTTGCTTGAGTTTCAGGAAAATCCACATACATCGAGTAGACAAGCATCCACTACATTCAATGCTAGCCATACATCGATAGTAAACATATTAAAAGAAAATAAATTGCAGTCCTATAAGATGATACCTACTCAGGAGCTCATGGAAGACCATTTTGATAGGAGAACTTTTTTTGTGAGCAAATGATGGACATGTTGGATAACAATATTATCCAATTATAAGACGTTATGTTTTCTGATGAGTGTACTTTTTCACTTAACGGTCATGCTAATCGGCAAAATTGCCGCTACTGCGCCACGGAAAATCCTCACTAGATGAGGACACACTCAATACCCTCAAAAGGTTACTGTTTGGGCAGGGATTGTAGGAAACGATATCATTGGTTCCTTTTTCATTGAGGGCAACTTGAATGGCAACAATTATTTGGCACTACTTCAAAATGATGTCATTCCAACATTGGCAAATTTATATCCTGATCCAGGAAATCCTCAAGTTCCAGCGAATACGATATGGTTTCAGCAGGATGGAGCACCACCACATTACCAACTTAATGTCCGGCAGTACCTCGATACAATATTTCCCAATCTGTGGATAGGGAGGCGAGGATCGATTGAATGGCCAGCGCGATCACCTGATCTTACATTATTAGATTATCTCGTAAATTACTAGACATAATTATACAAAATTTGAGATACGCCTATTTTGGGAAACGGAGATTCCATATTTGATATTTGCAATGTTGCCAGATTTTCAGTTTCTCTTATATTACTAGTAACTTTGGTTTTTCAAATGCATCACCCTGTATATTCAGTCATAATTGGATTCTCCTATTAAATATGAGTTCAACCATATGTAACACTTATGATTTTATGTAGTCTGGAAGGTCTTAAATACATAAAACAGAAGTCTGGCCACGCCTAAATTGTTTCAATACATTTTTTAATACTAACTATTTTCAAATACATTAAAACGTAACAATTGATAGTTTAGAATATTTTTTAACATAATAGTTACGCTATTAAGTGTTCAAAATGTGCTCTATTTGTGAGTTGACAGCACTCTAATCGATGATAGAATGCGTCTACCACATTTCTCCATGATTGTCTAGAAATTATTCGAGATTCATCGATAATTCAATTCTACCTTGTCTACCAATTTATTGTCCGGGAAATATCTCATCTAAATAACGCCTAACATTTACACCAACTATCTGACGTTAAATTTCTTTCGATAAAAATGGCCCAATTAAATAAGTACCTACTATAACTGACCATACATTTAATTTTTGTGGTCTTTGAGTATGGTTTTCACGCATTCAGTGTGATTTTCCCACGAGTTTAGCTATTCAATACGAGTTCAACCATAATGTTCACTTTTTATGTAGTCTGAAAGATCTTAAATACATAAAACAGTGCAAAATATGTAGATTTTAATAAATTCAAATATTTAAATGGAGACTGCTGTGATTTTGACATTTGTTCACGATTTAAATTATGAACTAAAATTGACAGTAGTTGTGGTTCAAAAACTTCTGCAATTTAAATTGCTTCTCTAAAATGCCGTTCTCTAAACCGTTCTCCTATTCATAAGACGACGGTACAAAAAACTCTAAGGCGATTTGAGGAATCTGGAGAAGTAAAAGATAGATACCGATCAGGTTGACCGAAACAAGTTATCAATGACAACAAAACTTCAGATATAAGTAAAGTTTTGTTAAAGATCCACATACATCCCTAGGCAGGGTTGCACAAGTACATGATGTAGGTCATTCTTCAGTCCTATGTTTATTACGTAAAAATAAATTTAAATCATACAAAATTAACTTATTACAAGAATTAAGTGAAGATGACTTTGGTCGTAGATTAGAGTTTACTGAGGTAAGGATGGATAAAATTGAAAATATTAAAATTTCGTTAACAGAATATGTTTTTCCGATGAAGCAACTTTTACACTGTGCGGAAGTGTAAATCGACACAATTTAAGGTACTGGTGTGACGTAAATTCACACTGAATATACTTGCATATTCTTCGACCACCATTCTTAATTTTTTGTTTGATGTTTGTCTTTATAACCCAAAGCTTTACTTGCAGCCTCATGCAAATTTCGTTGAATCTTCGTTATAGCTTTCTAGGTAATATGTAGGGGTGTTACTTCTTGTCCTTTTTCTATATATTCTACACCTGAGTGTTTTTGTTTTTGCGATAGTTAATTATCACATTGGCCATAAGTAAAAGACAGTCGGATCCACATTCTGATCCACGGTAAACCCTTAAGTCAGTTGTTTTCAGCTGGGAAGTTTGACGTTGAATTACTACTGAGTTGATTCCTACTAGAGCAATTAACTTTAGTAATTCTTATGCCCTACATTAGGGTGGACCATTGGCTATCAAGTGTCTAGCAATATTTCAAAACAGTCACAAATTCGTGATATATAATATGTGTGCATATACAAAACCTTTAAAAATAGAGTACTCAAATAATTTAATCAATCTTTCAGCATACCATTATACAAAAATTAACCAATCATTTCAAAACTTTTTGAATGCATCAAGGAAAAAAGGCTTTGCGTTACATCAATTTCTCCTAAGAAATATGTCTTTAACCTACATAAAGACGTGCTGGATTTTATTACACTACCCATGCGAAGTAAAATTTTTTCTATCATATCAGGCGAAAAATATATTCTAAACGATACTTTAAGAAAAACATGTATCCTTTTAATACCCAGCCTCAATTTATCATCAGCGTGTCCTTTGCCACCAGACGCTTGCGCAACTACCAACGCAGGAAAACTGATCCCAGATAGCAACGCAACTTGGATTTCGCAGTAGGCTCGCGGAACATCTGGATGAAAAATGTCATTCAGTGTTTCTGTTTAGAATGCGCACGTTTTCCGCGTGTATTGAATGAAAAATGAACGGAAAAACTCGAAAAAGTTCATTGTGTCGTTGTTTTAAATAGCTTTCGATATTTTCATTTTTCCGCGATCAATTTATCTGAAGAAAAACAGTGAAAACGGTTCTGTTTACGTTGAGAGGGAAGGATAAGGTATGTTTTGTTTTCCTACTCGTTTATTACGAGCTGTTATTATATTTGAAAAAGATTTTTTTGTTTACATAGCGACATATGAACTTGATATATTTCGCTGATTTGGCAACTTTTGTTTGAAAATGTCGGTACTAAAAATATATTTTTTCAAATTACGATTTATTTTAAGGTTAGAAAAATGCATGTTTTCATTTTCGTTTAAAAATATTTGAAAAAATTTGAGTAGATTGCGCAAAATATTATACGAAATAGTATGCTGTATATATCAGTACGTGCAACTAAGGACTGATGTACGAACCAGACAGAAAGATTAGAATAAGCACAAATATATTTTAAAATATTTGAAAACGAGCAAGGTTCAAGAAAAAAAATGATATAGACTATAAAAAAAATAGACATAAATGTAAATAAAACTATATACATATTATAACACCTGATAACTTAATTTTGAAACTCCAAACACAAAATCAGATTAATTATGATCTAATTAGCAAATTAAAACAAAAAATGTATTTATTGAATTTTAGTGGAGACGCCAGATTAATAAATATATGTTTTTCTCATCTCAGGTTTCTTAATTGAATTCAAAATCATTACCTTTTCTTTTAATACTACTTGAGAAAAAAGAGGACTAGAAGTAAATAAATAAAAGAAATCAATTGGTACAATAAATTCAAAATATAATGACCACATACCTTTGTAGATTTTCATACACTAAATAAATATCTTGTTTCTAATAAATAAATGTTTCCCTAAATTACTCTGTGGCATATACAATTAACTACAAAACAAATTTATATTAAGTATAGTTCAATCAATGTCTCGTTTTTACAATTTGCCTCAGTATTTTTCTAAAAGAAACTACTTTAATTGTTCCCTATCCAACAACTCCTTCCGGGTTCTACTTATATAACAAAACCGTTGACAAACTCCTAACAATGTTTATTGCTCCAAGTGGAGGGCCAAAATTCTCCTTAGCTATCTTCGTTCCTCACAAATACTGCAACTACTACTGTTTGTTTTAAAAAACAAACTATCAGCACATTCCTTTCGGTTTTGTCTTCACTCGCTTCAAGTACCACAGCGGATGATCCTCCTTGCTTTTTCAATTTCATTCCCGTGTGTCTATTCCTTCCATAATTTCTTGTAACCAATCAAAACATTCTTTCTTTGCATTCAACCCAATTGCAAAACTCTTCAAATGTTTAAGACTCAACTAATTTCAAATTCCTGTAATTGTGTACAAATCATACAAGACAATAACTTTCTACTTTGTTCTTCACCGTTAATGACCGCTTTTGAGATAACAGAAATAAATTACTGAAAACGGCAGGTAGATATCATACTTCAACACAACCCATTATTTACAAACTATTCTTAAATCTATTGATTTCCATAATTTAGAAAGTTCCAGTTTTTTAATTTTTTTTTTAAATTTCCACTAACATTAAAGACAACACGATAGGTATACGTATAAATTCATCACCATCACAAATAAGTAAATCACAGATGGAAGAAATAACCAAATCCCTGAAAAGTGGAAAATCCCCTGGTCCTGGTGACATCTTTGCAGAATTAGTGAAAGCCGGTAGGTACAGACAAACTCCAGGAACAGTTTAGAAAACTCTTTCAAAGACTGTTTGAATGGGGCTGAATTACCAAAAGAATGGAAATTATCTATCATGCCAACTATCCACAAAAAGGGCAACAAGGATCAGTGTGAAAACTACAGAGAAATTGCGGTAAACAGCACAACAAGTAAAATGTATGGGAAACTTATTAAGAACAAAATAGAAAATGACTATAGAGATTAAGAAGCAGAATAGCAAGCTGGTTTTAAAGCTGAGCTATCCAAAGTAGACCACTTATATTCTATTACGCAAGGTATTGAGACAAAAACAGCCATCAATAAAGAAGTTCACCTAGTGTACGTGGACTTACAAAAAGCATATGACAGTGTACCCCTCAGTAAACCATGGTCAACCCTACAGCAAACCAACATTAAGCATGGTCTTATCAAAGCAGTCTAAAGTCTGTAGAATGGAACGACTGCAAAAATTAAAACTGGATCAAGGATATCTGAGGGATTTAAGGTCACGAAAGGACTAAAGCAGGGTTGCTGTATTTCGCCTACCCTTTTCAAAATTTATCTGGAACAACCACTCAATCTGTGGAAAAGAAAATGTAATGGCATGGGAATCCCTCTCAATGACGAGATTACACTGTACACCTTATGTTTCGCTGATGACCAAATACTGATTTCTCAGGATCATGACGACTTGAGTTACATGACTCGGAAGCTACTAGAAGAATATAACAAATGGGGTCTCTAAGTCAACATAAAGAAAACTGAAACCATGTGTATTGGAAGGACAAAGCAGTCCATTATATTAGACGATGGGCTAGAAATTAGACACTGTGATGAATACAAGTATCTGGGTATGAAGATAACTCAAGATGGAACACTCCATGCTGCTATAAAAGACAGAAACATACAGAGTAGAAACGCCATATCCATGATAAACGGCATTCTGTGGGACCAAACAATATCTAAAGTGAACAAACAACTCATATACAACACCATACTTAAAAGTGTAATCACATATGGCAGTGAAGTTTGGCCAATGAAACAAAGAACAGAGAAACTGCTACTAACAACAGAAATGGACTTCTGGAGAAGAGCAGCAGGCAAATCAAGTAAAGATCGGATACCAAATGAGAGAATACGAGAAATGGTGGGAGACAAGCATACAATAGTTGATGACATAAAAACAAAACAGTTAATATGGTACTGCCATGTACAGAGAATATCAGATGACAGGATTCCGAAACAGATTTTGAAATGAACACCACTGGGAATAAGCCACAATTAAAGATAAAAATACGTTTATTGACGTTTCAATTTCCACTTCGAAAATCGTTCTCAAAATACAAACAGTAAATTAGACAAATTTTGTTTTTTTGTTACATAGTGAAAAATGCTTCTAATAATTTAATTTTATCTGACTCATTTATATTGACAATTCAGACATACATTATGCATTTTAAAGTAGACGACTTTAAAATGATATTGCCAATATTGTTGAGTTGCGCTCCTGGGACGACTTTACTTATAAGATAGTTCATTCGATTACATGAAATCAACTTTAACTTGAGAATATCCGTCAGAAAAAAATCATAACGTGTAATTCGTCTTTAAAAAGAACACATGCTATGATAACAGTAAAATTCTCCTGTTAGTGATTGCATAGTAAATTATGAGGGAAAAACCAGAAAAAACCTCATAATACTATCCCGACATGGAAGTATTTGGTCGTGCATTTAGTTTACCTTCAATAAACACCAAATTCTGATTCTATATGTTTGTTATTTAAAAAACATAAATGATGTATCCTCTATATGTTACTTACTTACTAATACTGGTATTTTCTTATTAATAACTTCCTCTTTCAATATGGATAACCAGATCCTACTACATTTTGCCGAGGAATTTTAGACACAATTGGTCTCATTCAGAGTAATTAGAGCCGCTTCTTTGATACTTTAGGATCTTTTAGGACTACATTTGAATTATTCCAATAAACCAATGGAATAATAAAATGATAAAGTCTATAATGACATAAAAATATTAGGACTAAGTGAGACCAGATGGCCCCATTCAGGTGACATATCAGTAGGCCAAACAAAGATATACTACTCTGGTTATGACAATAACAAAAATCACTGGAACGGAGTAGCGATATTAGTTGACAAAACTGCCCAGAAATTTGTAACTGACTTTTTACCCATCTCGGATAGAGTTATGATGGTAAAACTAAAAACAGCTCAATCTAGAGTCAATATAATTCAAGTATACGCTCCCACTGCAGAAAAGTCGGATGAAGAGCTCGAACAGTTTTATAATGAATTACAAGCTTTAGAAGTAATCAAGTCTAGAGACGTTACAATAGTCATGGGATATCTAAATGCAAAAATTGGTAGAGGAAGTCAAGGTGATTTTATTTGAAACTTTGAACTGGCACATGTAACGAGAGAGGAGATAGATTGGCTCAATTCTGCCAAGAGAGCGGTTTTATTGTCGCGAATACTTAGTATGATCTGCCACTCAGAAGACTCTATACATGTAAATCTCCAGCAGACAACCAACATAACGTCATCAAAAACCAAATTGATTACCTTCTCATCTACAAACGATACCGAAATTCCATAAAATCAGTAAAATCATATCCCGGAGCGACCCATGAGAGATCCATTAACAAACGAGCAAGTCCCAGTAAAAATTAAAAAAGAGCTTCCCAAAATAGAAATTATTCCTACTGAAGATGCGAGTAGGAAATAGCATATGTTAAAAGATGCTCTTATACGCACATGTGAGACAACACTAATACCAAAGCTGATCATGAACAAAATGAATGGATGGCCGATGAGATTCTGGATCTCATGGAAGCAAGGAGATCATATAAAACCAAAGACAAAAACATGTATAATAATATACACACAGAAATAAGAAGAAAGATCAGAGATGCAAAGGAAAGATGGTGTAGTGATAGATGCGAAGAGATTTAACAGTTGATAGAGAAACATGATAACTTAAACCTTCATAAAAAAATTAGGGAAATAACAGGCACTAATATTAAGAAAAAATCAAACATACTGCTAGATAAAAATAGCAAAATAATTATAGACTTCGGTAAAAGGCTTAAAAGATGACAGGGATATATTCAAGAGCTATTTAAAAACGAACGGACTGAGATGGTACTAGAGCAGGAAAAGTTCGAGAACGGCTCAGACATAACAGAAGATGAGGTATTAGAGGCGATAAAGCGAACAAAGAACAAGAAGGCAACAGGTCCTGACGTTATACCTGTAGAGATAATACGGTTATTATAAGAACAACAAATTGGAATAATGATCGACTTTTCAATACAATATAGAGTACAGGAATCATTTCCAGAGATTGGCTGATGTCAACATTCATAACACTACCAAAAACACAAAAT